ATTGGAAGAGCCAACTAATACATACAAGAGCCAATATATTTCCTCAGATGTAGACCTTTTTTTCAAACTCAAAGTCGAATTAGCCTAACTGTGGGCAACTGACATTTTTAAAGAAACTGCAAGATCCTACGGATTATATTTGTGTAGTTAGATCTATGGCTGCAAGGTAGGTTTGAAAGTTAAGGTCCTTAAGGATTTTCACAACCACTTTGAATAGCAAAAAACCTTTCTAAGCCATAAATTTAGGTGACAGTTACATGTAAATCGAACACAGCCAATATAAGGAACTGGTGGTGAGTAGATTTTTCTAAAGAGCTAAAAATTACCTTAGCCATATTATAAAGGATATTAGGTAAGGCAACTGTAGGATTGACAGGATTATTTTTTCTAGCCAGAAAGATAGAGTAACAGGGTCCACTATAGAACAGCTGATGAACGACCTATTGACTTTGTTCGTAGAATATATAGATTCGTATTTAAAGTTTTGTTGAAAAAATTCTTATCTCCCACAGGCACCTTCTAAAATGTGACGAAACACGCAAATTACGAAAGAATAGCTTTTAAATTTGTTTATAAATTTGAAAATAATGTCTCCATTAGTCTTAAAAACATTTGAATTTACCAATTTTCAGAACTTGAACAATCACATATAAAAAAAATCTACAAGAAAAAATAGTAGTAAAAGTATCCAGGAAGTACATGTTTAAATTATTCGATAGATTGCTTCTGTTGTTAATCTAAGATTCGATACCGATAACGTTATAGACAATCTACCTAGTCGACGACCCGCCCGCATCGTGCAGCTTACAAGCGAAGACATACCATTAATTATTTGTCTAAAGCAGTGGCACTACGAAGATACGTTTTGATTTCGCAGGGCCACAAGTGGGAAAACGCCCTTAGTACTGCATCGTGATGCTCTAAAGCATATCCAACAAATACGTGAACGACCACCACCACAAAAATACACACTGTAACATAGAAATAATGGTGAAAAATGTACGTCGTACATATTGATTAATCTGTTCATAGACTCAATTTACACGAGGTACGCCTGGACATCCTCGTTTCGATCACAAAGTAAAACGAAACGATTCAAGAGGAATTACAGGAAACTGATACTTACGTTACCTTAAATCACTCTAAATAAAAAATCTACTACTACTACTGCGACTACCCCAGGTCAATTTGATCGTTTGCAATGTTACATTACACGTTGCCATGCAATTTTACATCATTGAAAATCTACATTTAATTATAAGAACAACACGTTTTTTTGAGGATAGGTTACTTTGTCCAGGCACAGCAGAAATACGTATTTCTGAAATATTCAAAGGAGCATCCATAACATGAAACTTAACCGATGTGCTATATATATATATTGTCAAAGTTGTTTCCCGTGTGTCTGGCGATATTATCTGTTGGCAGCAAGGGAGACGTATACCTGTGCTAAACCAGGAAACAGTGTGTTATAGGTATTAGACCTATCGATGTGACTATGCGATCTTGTGAGGAAAGATATATTGTTTCCCCAGAATTGTTTACAGGAAAAAGGTTTGTAATAGTTGTTGCGCTTTAATTGGCAAAGGTGAATAAATTAAGTGTTACCAAGTCAATGTTTTTGCCCTTATTCTCTTAACTGGCCAGGGTAATTGACTCCAGAAAGCTCCACTAATAATGATGATGATGGTAATGGCATCTTTTGTTTCGGACTGACAGCCAGTTGTCTGGTGGGATGCCTAACGACTTAAGCAACATGTAGATATTTATAGTTGAATCGTTAATTAACTATCCCATTTTATTCATGCCCAAAAAGAGAAGTTAGTTAAGTGTTTGCTCAATTTAATAAGACTTTCTTACGATGAAATGACATAAATACGGCAAATGGCTCCTCATAGTGGTAACAAAGTCCCCAGTAGTTCCTCGTAGAGCGACGCAATAGAGCACAACGAATTGTACGGAGTGTTTGCGGCTGATGCGACGTCTGTCTGCATTACCTCGATACCGGCCACTCTGTAATCGCCTGAAAGCAATACGCATAGGGAATTCGCAGGCGTGATTGGCCTAATCCGCTCTATACGCAGGTTCCGTAGTAATCGCCTGCGTTTAAGGCCTTATAGAAATTCATAAAGAGCACAGTCAACAGAGACTATTTATAGGACCATCATATTTAGGTTTCTTGTGGAGAACATGTGTTCTACATGTGCATAGGCGGTACCAATAAAATATATATATCTATATATAACCTATAGATGTATTGGAATTGCTTAATTCCACGTTTGTTCCAACGTCCTAAGATATAACGGCTATATACAATGAGGTTAGCCCAATTAACATACAACCATATTTAATAGTTGTTTTAGAATGAATCACTCACAAAAAGTTTCCCTTAACACTTTGATATCGGTCAAAACAGTTATCCAGCCAGATAGTAGAACGAAGCTAACTAGCTGTCTGTTAGACAAAATATATGGAAAAACATCTTGTTGACCTGCGAAAAGAGAATTTCATACGTCTGTGTATGTACCATATGCAGTTCAGGTACCCGTCACCGAGAACACACAAGTAGCAGTCCCCGGATTGTTAGTTTCTGAAGAAGGGCCACGAAACCAAATGATCATGAGAAAGGGCATGCAAGGAGCCTTCAGAAGTAAGTAGTGTATCTGAGGCTAGTAAAAGTTATGCCGACGCATCATCAAGAAAGATCAATACTTTTAGGTTGTCATAAATTTCTGCATGACGTGAATTTTACTTCGGCCTGTAAGTAGCAAAAGGTCGAATGCACACGAACTTTTTAAATAGACTTTCTATTATCTTGTTTAATATATGCGAAAATAAAATCTATTTTCTAATAAGTGTAAAGTGAATAGGTGAGACAGCGTCAGGGGAACGAAACTTGTTAGCTTCGATAGCGCCGAGTAGTACTTGAAATTAACGGTCTTAAGATTTTGTGCGGTCATCTTCGGAAGACTTTTTGATGCCTTTGGCAGCTGCGCCGGTTCAACTCACGTACCGTAGTTATTTGGGCTATCAGCGACTCACATTCTTTTTATGACATTACATTTTGGCTAACCGATGTACGAATCGGACATCTGCTGATGATGGTCCCTGATATCTAAATGGTAATAAAGCACTTTGATCAGCTCAGCTCGATCAGAATTTATCGCACTTTTATGCTTAAAGGGATCTCAACATGACTTATTATTAGCGTATTAGGTAAACGCGCACCAGCAATTTTCTATACTTCGGAAGATGTAATATTCGGGCGAAATTATGTAGTAGCTGACGAGTTGGAAAGCAGGCAGATCACTGAAATTATTCTTAACGGCAATGCTACGTACAACGAGAACCGTAAGAGCTTTTCGCGCGACTAAATAGCATTAATGACCAACAATTTCCGATTTGCTTCATTTGGCAGAGTGTTAGAGGGGCTGCTTAGTTCATTGTTTGTAAGGAGTCTTTGATAAATAGAATAGTTATTAGCGCGGGTGCGACACAGAAAAAAAAATACGGAACAAAGATCATCACTGCATCATCATTGAGAATCAACTCTCAGACGATCGTAACAAAGAGACCACTATCAGTATTCCAAGGATGTACACTATGGATAGGCGCTTTTTTGGGAAATATAGAAATATATTTGTCCGACAGCATGGCAATACAAACCTTACCACACACATTTGAAGGCCTGGCAAATGAATAGAACCGACGGGGTGAAACAAGCATACGAAGGTTCATATATATATGAACAGGAGCTTCGACTTTTTGAAAAGACACTTTTTGAGTTAGAAAAGCACTAAATAATGTTCATGTTTTTCGAGCGTTTTTTTCTCGGTCTCACGAACATATAACCTATTCTCATGTCTAACACAAAGGAAAATTATCATAGAGAAAAAAACAGCTTGTGATGCGACTACCTGGTAACAACTTGTTTCCAGTACTATTTCAGTATATGAATAGTAATAATAGCAAAGAGATAGAACCTGAAAAATGATGCTTGTCGGACTAAAATTCATCTAAATCTATAAGTATTGATTGTTTTCATTTTTCCTGTAAAAGCTAATGCATACAACGATCGAAAAGTTTGAGTCATGAACAAATTTCGAGCTAATAATGGTCAACTATAGGTCAAAGTAGCTAAAATAGGTCGAACAACATTCGAATAACATTCGAGAAAGAACATCTTTGGTAATAAAAATCACGCTTTAAAAGCTTATCAAGCAAACGATAAAGAAAGATTTGTGTGAAAATCTCGAATTATCACCATTTCTGCGGTAAAGCTGACCTTAACAGCAGATACGTCATAAGGTTATCGTCAAACTATGTTTATGATTATTTTCCTGTGGTCTTCACGACTTTTAGGGTGCATCGACAAAAAATAAGTCTTATCACAATCCGTTTGAGTGGTAACAGAACTTGTGAGTATATTGAGCGAATACGTGTATGCACACCCATAAATAACGAAGCACAAAATACTGTTGAAATTATTGCACTTTCTGTATTTTGACATATTATACAATTTCTGGCATTTATATTGGGATATAACATCTCTAAAAAGTTTTCCCATACTATATTGGACGTCCTTAGTACAATATATAGGATCCTCTATAATACTTATACACAAATTGAAGCCAAGTTTCTTCATTTAGTGACACGATCATTGTGCCTGAGATCGTCAGCCGCTTCCAGCTGTCAAAGCTTTATACTCAGTGTGTAGCTTACCTTTTAAGGACACTACTCACTCAAACAGACAATACCTCATCGAATCAATTTTGGATACTTGGACCCCCCGATGTGTAAAGTGGAGCGCTTGGCGACCCTAAACCGCAACAGCATATAACATAGTATATACAGGATCCTTGTGATTTCCTATACTGGTTTCTTTTAAATCGTTCTGAATATTTTTGAAATACACTGTCGCTGTTCCCAAAATGAACGGCGGAAAACCCTCAATATTCATAGGCCTAGGCTATTATATATATATATATATATATATATATATATATATATATATATATATATATAATGCTATAAAGTCTACTCACAAAAAAGTGCGCCATTCGGGACAATTATTGCAGCGGGTGCAAATGCACATGGACTTTATTATAGATAGATGTCTTCAAAATGCCTTTTATGAAAATTCTTAAAAATGTTGATGTTTTGTAAGCTTCTGATAAAAATTTATATAAAGTATCGTAAACCGTTATGCGGAAAATGTTGTATGAATTATAATTAATGTGACTAGTTAATAAGCTTCAATTTTAACTATTGTGCCAGAACTGGGCATATTCTATTATTAGCAGAGAAATGATTGACAATATACGCGAAAGAGATGTAAAAAGCATTTTGAAATAAGCACCACTTCTATCGATTCCATACGAATCGACCCGGTAAAGATATATATATATATATATATATATATATATATATATATACATATACAACTCGTCCTGAATTCATCTTGCATATACGCGTCCTATACGAAATGAAAACAGAACAAAGACGACAGATGGAGAGATGGAGCACAGCTCGTAGAGAAGATTTGCCATTATCCGATCTAGGGACTCCGTATAGGACGAAGTAAAGGTTTTTTATCTATTTTATATTTTCCTGCAGTGCTCGCTCATCTCTATTTGACCTTTGTCTGATTCTGTTCGTTCTTTCTAGCTTGCTGTTGTGTTATTTAAATAGGCCGTCGAAGGTTCGTTTCCGTCTTTGATTACGAAAACTGCAGTTGATGTTGAGTTTTGCCAATATGTAGATCAATTTCCACAACTATCTCATGCATCCCAGTAGTAACACTCCCGTTGGACGTTTGAAGAGGATACTTTGGGCCTTAGAATGCTGCTATGCTGCTAGGCAATACCCGATGTTACATTCTCTCGTCTGCCCGTAACAGAGCATGAACTGGCCACCTGTAAAAAGAGACCCAAAGAACTACTTATTGATGACATATTCGGTTGTTACTCGCTGATACCTCTAAAACGTTAACACTCTATTTCCGGATCTAGCATACGGATAACGAGCGACTTGCTGTTACACGCAGGAACTTCAACGTTTTCACTAGTTTCACTGCTTTCCGAACAGTTCTAAACTGTTTTTCTTTCGCTTGCTACTGCTTTCCTGAGATTTGCTGAGACCGAGGATAGACAGAAAATTTATAAACGTATGTATATTCTGAGGTGGCCAAAATTGTTTAGGCATCGCACGCTTTCATACCTACACCAGCAATAATAAGCTTTCCCTAAATAAGTTACCACCGCTCAAAAACTTAACGTTAACTTATGCTTATATCATAAAATTCACGAAGTAGGCGGTCACTGATGATGATATATATGATATAATTATACAGAATAGTTAGAGAAAATTATTCTTTCAATAGAAACATAAATGTTTTCAGTTTTATTTTCTTTTTCATTTTTGTTTTTTTTGCATTTAACTATATTCGTGTAGCATGTACACTTCTAGTCTACAGTTATTTAGCTACTGTGCATTATTATATGATATTAAATAATCTTTCAAACATTTTACATTAATAAATATTTCAAAAGTTTGTTATTGTCATCGCTTGCAAAATATTGTACCTTTTATTCACCATTTACTGAGGTTAAATGGTTGCCGAAACAGTCCAAAGTGGAAGATCCTTATCTTAGCTAAAACCACCGCTAGCTAGTAGGCAAAAGAAGTATATATTCCATCGTCAACCGAATTTCATAAGTTTAACAAGCGCATAATAAGATAATTACAGGTTTATTGAGTTCTAAGGGAGGCATGAGGGCAAAACGACATCGTCGGTGGTAAAGAGAGTGACAGCGAATATTTACACTATGCGTTGTGTCTGACAAAGGACTTCGATTTCTTTTACTATTAGTCTACCACGTAAGCTATTATTTTCATCTATAATAGTCAGTTTGGTAAGTTCGTGACGCACTGGATGCATCGTAAAGATCAGCGAGAAGTTCAACAGCTGCAGTCGTTTCTATCGACCCCGAGCTGGCGACTCTAATTCTGCGAACAAATCTTTATTATCAGATCCATCTATATGCTTTTGAAAAAGATCATTGCTTGATAAGCCTATATCTTTTAGCTATATTCAGCCCTGGGTTGCTTCCCCAGATTTTTGACATCAAAAACAAGTCGTTTACGCATATCCACTTTGTTTTTACTCACCCATGTTTCGAAATCTTTCGACTCAAATTCACAGCGAAATTTCATGCTAGGAACAGAATAGCTTATAGAGAAAAAAGTGAGAATATATCCGTCGGCTAGTGAATAGGGCTTTGATAATTTTACGACGTACAACCTACAAACTGTTTTATATCCTTGGCCGTTATAGTCGGCTATCGATACCAGCGGCTGGGTCCGCGTAATGCTGGCCTGTGCTCCATGGAACACTGTTTTAAGGGTCTAGCGTCGTGAATGTGGCGCTTTCCGCCGCAGTCTTTACCATATCCTTGTATGTATCTATCCATATATACTCTAACCTAGGACAGATTGACTATTCAGTTCAAAAGTACCTGAGTATATTCCAAACTTATAAGTCGCCTCGTTAATTTAAAGTCGATAATGCAAAACTCTTGGCATTTATATATCCGTTCACTAAAAAGTTGAAATTATGCTAAACGCCTTTTTACTGGCTCGTCATATCGCATCAATACAACCGCCAATATTCTACACTTCTAGTATGTAGCTCTAAGCGAAAAACAACTTAGCCGATCGAATTATCTATTACATTAGCGATAGCCTCATACCACAAGACCGTGATGCACTGCACTTATCCTGTCGAAAGGTACCGTCCAAGCGAAAAAAAGGTGTCCACACTAACCTATTATTGGCAATTACTCCGAACGTTCTTCCTTAAGTGCCCGTAGAGCGTCAGAAGTAGAGTCAGTCGGCAGCGTTGCCGGCAAGCTTGGTACGGCAGGTAGAGCTGAAGGCAAAGCGGTGGTTGCTAGGTTCGGAAGAGAGGCCAATGAGTTTCCGATCTCACTTATACTGCATAGATTACCCAGGTTGTTAATATCACTGGCAGAGTTTGTGCCACTGCTAGCTATCGGAGGCTGAGGTGCTCGACTCAGGTGTAGCGCTTTGCACACCTTATGGTGAGATTCCCAATGACGGTGCTGACAGAACGCGCCACAGTAGCGCGCGAGGCCACACCCACTGCACGTGTCGTTCGCCTTTCGGCCGCAATTCCAACAATTCTAAGCCATAACCATCATAATTATGAAAACAAAAGGGGTTACACAAGGTAAAAGTGTTGAAAGGTACTATATAATATATTTATCTAAGGGCAAACCTAGTTAGAGCGCTAAGATTTGAATTGTATGTTGGATAGTCGAATTACGAAAAGTTTTGCCAAAGAGCCCAAAGGACGTTTATGTAAGCTTATAAAAAAGATTGTTAAAAGTGATATTTCTCCGAAAATTGCGTTAGATTTCGAGTCGTTATAAAGTCGTACTTAAAGCCAAGTAATAATAAACGGTTTTTATAATCATGACGTTTTTGCACAGATCTAATAGTCTTTATTTGCTTTATTGAAGACCCCTGCTCATAGCATGGTACGGTCCATTTAAACTACACTACGGATAGGAATGTATGCCCTATGCCCTATGACCGTCGCTAAGTTTGGGGAAATTATTAATTATCACAAACCTAAGTTCCTAATACGCGGAATGTTTTATTCAGATAAAAACAGATAGAAATAAGCAATTTTTACACATAATAATATGAAGTCTGAACTTGTTCAGACTGCATCGAATTTGTCCATGATATGAGAGTGAATCGCACCCTAATGCAATACGAATATTTTTCTATGCAAGAAGATCGATATGCTAATAATAACAAGCTTCATCCGCTTGATAGCAGACGAACACGTCACGGTGGGCGCGCGTATTCAAATAAGATTGTAACTGTAAATCATACAAAATTAGTGGATTACGACATACAAGCATTGCATCATTAGAGCCTGGAGGTTCCGGGGATTGGTGGTGATGTTTATTGAGACGGGTTAATACTTCTTGTTGCGCTTGTCGTTTTGCCTCAAGAATAAGCGTTTCCAGTTTACTCCTTTCCAACGCGATCATCTGACTTGCTCGAGACTCGGCAGCGGTGACGGCTTTTTCTAACTCCAACATGGCTTGCCGGCGCACCTCTTGAACGGCTTCCTCTGTATCAATAAAAATCACCGACATCATATTAACGTCAGCAAGGGTCTAAAGGATACTATAAGTAATAGGTTTTTTAATGAGTTACAGCGTCGTTAATATAGGCCGTTCTTAATCATGGCACGTTTCACTAATGTCTTCGGTTCAGGTCAGCATTTGCACATGTTTTTCTTCCGCATTCGCTACTAGAAGTAAACTTCATCTAACAAACGGTCAACGGAAAAACTTATCAGTTTGACATAGAAGCGGAGAGATTTACCGACAAGATTTGCGTAATTCCGTCGATTATCTACATTTTGCTGGTTGTATTAAAAAATAACAATATAAGAGTGAGTATATAGAAGCATCTATAACACTGTGTCGATACACACTGTGTAAATAAATTATAAAGCTAATTTGAGGGATGGTACAAATACCACGGTTTCCCCCGTATCTAGCGTATTGTTGTCAAGCTTGCAGAAACATGGTCTGCCGCATAGTCTGCAGTCGAACCTATGTACGGCAAAGCAAATGAGGATGTTCCTGTTTACCCGATTCTTTTGTCTGCACTCGTTTTTCGTGATGGTCAAAAATAAAGAAATCCCCGTCAATCACCGTGAATTTTGCCTCCTAACTTTTTAACGTTGATCTTGAAATCTTCCGTTGCTAGGAGGTCAAGTCAACGGTGTAAATCCTTGGAAAGCAATGGCGGGTCGGATGGGAGATACGCCAGGCGATTTCAAGTTACAATTACAATTCCCAATGCTTTTTTTTGAGGAGAAAGATTCTGACACGATTCAACTGTTCGAGGCTCTTTACTTTAAGATCTTTCCAAATTACGCGTATCCCATACGCTGTGATCGGAGCTACTTTGAAGTCAGACAAGCTGATAGCAATTGCAAAGGATAAGCAATGAAGCGAGTTAATTGGCCGTACCGCCAATACTGCCTCCCCATAGCTTTCGGTGTAATTCGTAAATTTCAGCCATTAGTGGGAAAAGGGTTGCTACGTAGGAAGATTACTTAGCAAAGTGAGGAAGGGATCCGGCAAGGTACAAGGTATCAGTGGCCGCTGTCATTCTCCCCATTTAAAATTTCATCGCTTCCGTCTTACTCAGGTTTACGGTCATTCCCAAGTCTCTGGCTGCAGCGCGAAGCCAGACTAGAACCTGCATAAAACCTGTTCGTTGAGGTTGAGTACACTTACTGAAATATCCGCCTCGGCCAGCAATTGCATAACCTTATGTCTGGGTGGGAAATCGACAAATACTATGTATAGCACAAATTAATGCTCTCTTGAGGTCGGCCATCAGGATCCTGTACGCCATTTCTGTAGAGCGTTTCCTCCGGAACCCACGCTTTTTAAGTAGCTGACCAACCTTATAGTCAGCAAGTCCGAGAGCAGCTGATAACAAACGTTCCTTTTCGCTATTTCCCGCCATGATGACTGGGATTGACGCATCGATTAGGCCATCTTTTTTTTTTTCTGGAGGATCATAGCTCTTTACTGAGCTGGAAGTGTACTTATACATAAACATTTACGGCACGATACCAGAAGGACGGCGCATCCGGGATTCTCGTTGCAGACTATCTTGGTAAACAGCTTTCTTGTTGTCTAGGCTTCCAAGACCTTGTATTAGTACTTGCACTGTGAAGCTTTATTGAAGGGTATTGCATTGTATTGAAATTTCCCTTTCCCACGCTGAGATGAAAAAGGGCACCGCGCGTGGTATCGTAGACCTTGTCGTAAATATCTCCTACAAGATGATAATTTATCAGATCTGAAAAGCTGATCGGACAAGACAAGACGTCTGGTTGTCGTGGTGCGTTAGCAACCTGTATGATTGACGTTTTGCACCGACGATCAAACGGGTCTGAAGCTACTCAAGGTGCTATTGCTTTTATGGCACACACGTTTTTCGTCGGATCGCCTTAAAAACGTAGGCTAAATTGTAGAACTCATGCTACACTTCGGCCGTAAGCTTGAAGGCCATCTGCAAATATAGTCGAACAATGGAATCGTAAACTGAAAAATTTCAACCGGATGCTGCACATAAGTTTCGGTATTCGCCACGTCTACATCGAGGAGTTTTGACAAAGGCTGATGTTTGACAGGCTATTATGGCGACGATAAAAAGTTTTGTTGTTCTAATTCAAAACTGTGCTCTCTGTAAGAGGCCAAGCATGGCCAAAAAGAAAATTCTGTTCCAGAGTGAGCACGAACTCGTATACGCCTACATTTTTGTCGGACGACCTAATTAGGGGAGTCGTTGAACCTTTCCCTATTCTTGAGCTGTAACGTTTGGACGTGTTTTTTGGAGAGACATCTCAAGAAACATCAGTTTTGAGGTAACGGCGATAATAATGTGGAATTCAATGTGGCCAGTTACCTTTTAACTGAACATGCTGAACAATCATATACCAACTACGGTAAGTACAGTTAAATGGAAATACTTGGAATAAATTACAAGTTTCAGGGTTTGCCAGCAAACGAGTGTGACAGGTGTATACCACGACCACTATGGCTTAAACCTCTTATAACATCCAGTTAATTTTATTAAATGCAGAAGGTTATTGTGATGATAAACATACATCTGTATGTATGATGTCAAACACCTACATCTGTTCTACAGCTTGCTGCAAGCGACCAAGAAGCAGCTACTAAGAACTGGCTGAAATTTCCTCAAAAAATAATTTGCAACATATGTCTTCATGCCTGAGTACGAAATCAATTTGCAAAGGCGCGATGTCAATAAGTGATTTGTCACAAAATATCCTATAGATAATCGCCGAATGTTTCTTTGAAGAGACATTAGATCATGAGATATGGGTATTTAGATAGCCACAGCAACCGTACTTGAACCCATTGTATCACATGAAAGTTCTTCGTCAGTATGGTTAGATACATAATGAAGTGGTGGCTCTGAACAAAGTTCAACCAAAAGCACCAAATTGGCAATGAATAGGATAAAAATGCTCAGTCAGGTAGTAACAAAGATGAGATAATAACTCTAGTATCATTCTTACATTGACTTAAAAAACGAATTTATCATATAAAAAAACGAGATTCAGGCGAAAAATCCAGATGAGACAAGCCATGCTTGCGCAACTGATTCTTACAATTCAGGATTTGCAATACAATATTTGTTCTAGTCGTAGAAGAGTAGGCAGAGAGCAATTTTCCAAATAAATTAATGGGTAGCTTTTTTGAGCTACCGTCCTGAATTTATGGAGTTTTGAAAAATTTTATACAGATTAAAGATATCAGAGACAGTGTGCTGCTGCTAAGAACGTCTAAACGAGGTCAATTGAGGCGTTTCAGATATTGCACGTAGAGCATTTTGTCGGACCTGTACCCGACGCTTATAAGATAATTTTTGATTGGAAGGCCAAATCGAGCAGAATTGTCTTGGCAGTGTAATCGAGGGATGACTCAGAAAGTATTAATTTATAGACGAATTAAGTAGTCTTAAATCATGCCTCTATTAATTGGCCTCCTTAAATTTAACGAATCACATAAATGACAACAAGTGAGGTTAGAAACGAGCTGACTGTTTTAAGATCTAGAACGGCAGGCCATTGAAAACTGCATATACTTGCGTGGTTCGATTAGTGACGTTGCATATTGCGTCGTTGCCTATTAGTAAACGGAGCCGTTTCCAGCCTGGAGGAAAGGTTTCATGTATGTAAAATAAAAACAAGGCCCAGAATTGTTTCCTGACAAATATTTCTATTGAACTTAGCTGTGTTTGATAAATAGTTGCAGAACTCTAAACATGATAGCAGTTATTTAGCATCTTCCGTCTAAACAACAATACTGATAAATATGCAAGGATTAATATAGTTGCAAGCTGGTGTGACATCAAAAAATTTCCCAAGCGTTGTATTACCAGCCTACATGAGAGGCCTAACATCCTCAATCATGTCTATTGACGCTTTATATGTAATATTAATCAAATAAATGGTGTAGATAAAAGTTACTAAAAAAGTGGTAACTGCAAACTAATTGAAGGAGCAGAGCGGAAATACACTAGTGCAATCATAATATAGACATTAAGATTATTTCTTAGCCTTTATTATATAAATAAAGAGCAGACTCTAGCGGAGAAGACAAAAATCAGTTCAATCGGCGGGGCCAGAGAGCGAATGCTAACGAAAAGGGGTGCTTTAGATAAACTCGATTGCATTTAAGATCATATTAATAAATAAAACAGTGCTGAAAATGACCCAAACAGACAGTTGTCCCGAGTATGGTCATTTGTCCGTTCTTAGTTTTTACGTAAGTGCTCAACAAAACGCTACTCTAGTAGCTACTATGATGAACTGATGTCACAATGGCAAGAGCAGGAACTGATTACCGGTTCTGCGACGGACGTCCAGTAGGCCAATGTCATAGTGAGGCAGAGGGTTTGGGATAATACGTCGTTTAAGTTCCAACTCAAGTGGCATTCGGATGTTCCACAGCGGGTCCTGACGTTTTCGTAAGAGCGAGAGCGTTTTCTTAGTTTTATCGACCATTGCCAAAATGCAATCCAACATCTGTAACGGAAATAAGATCAATATCAACTGTATGGGATCCGAAAATCTACCGTCTCTTCACATTGCAGGCAGCATTGTTTACTTGAAGGTTACCATTCATCTGGCTTGAAAGAATGGACAGTTCAGAACTGTATATCTTATTACATTAGAAAGTAGGTTCTGGGGTAATGATAGGACAAGTAGCCTACAATCGTTTTAATCTTAGTATCTCCAAATACACAAAATGTAACACCAACATTTTATGTCTACTTTGAAGACTCTTACTCTTATATGCATATATCAGGCTGTGTTAAATGTCCGCGCTACTAAGAAATCTCTAACCATTTGCTTATGTACCTGATTGACGTTCTGTAATGCCTCTTCTGAATGACGAGCATCGAAGGGATCCTCTTCAGGTTCCCCTCCGCGCGTCCGTTTGTTACCTGGCTCCGCGTTCGTTGTTCGTTGTCTGCACATATGAGACACATGGATAAAGAGAAAACAAAACATTGTAGTCAATCGCTTATAGATTGTTCTTTGTACGGAAACGTGATTTAAATCAATTCTAGGTACCTACGTAACCAGTAATACACGTTCTGAGGAAATTCATTGCGAAGCCCGACTACCTGAAGGAGATCAATACTGGGTTTTCAATCTTCATCGAAACAGATAATGTGAGGTGTGCGTTCGAAAACAAGAGGGGCTTTAAGTTAGACCAACAAGCACGGTTCATATCAGGTTCCACAAAATAATATCGCCGCTTACAAAGTCGGATAACACATCTGCCTGACAATTGGATCCCTCTTTTAAGCCCCACTTTTAACATGGTGTGTTGCGTTACGGACACTGCCATCATTGGAAAGCTAACGTTGCCTTATCCGTCAACAATCTGTATCGTATGTAGATAGTTCGCATAGAGGTCTCTGTAAGATGAGCTACAACTAATTGCAGTCGCTGAAAGTGCTTGAAAAGGAACACGGAATAACGGGATACATATATATATTCAAGTAACAGGTATAAATGGTTGACATAACAGCATAGGTTGACGTTAGTACGTAGTGAGCCTGGAACGAGTAAAGTTAGTCTAGTGGTATTACTTGGTACAGCTTCCCCGTACGGTTCTGTGCCTTGCAGTCTTTTGCTATGAAGGTTAATGGCCGATGCTGTGATTTCTGACGCGAGTCCTTGGCTGATCGAATACGCTTTACTTTAAAGAATAATGACATGGCTTCGGTTTACTTCTGCCAGAATAGAGAGCTACCCAATAAGGCGTTCAGTTCTTTTCTTTTTTTGGTCTGTCTCATCTATATTTCATTTCTTCTGAACGCCTATGGATCACTGTACATACGCGGTCGATGACACCCTGTGTAACGTAGAAGAAGCAGGCCCTGGAGAGGCCGATATTTGACTGAACAATCGCCTAAAGCGACTGCACAGTTGGAACGTCTTGAATGATCTCCAACTAAACCTTCAAAAGCCTCACGTCTTTGCCCTTCTCTACAAGTTGGCCTATTCGCTTCTAGAGACATAAATAGGATCCGACGATCTCTGTATAGAGATTCTTTGTAGTACTTGGAGGTCATCTTTAACAAGTTTTGGCAGATTCACGTCTCATTGAAGAAAAATACATATAAAAGTTGGTTAGCTTCGTTATGTCTCCGTTCTTCGCATTGTAGCTTAAAATTCGGGACTGCAATGTACTATGCGGCTATGAATTACCGCCGATGAAGTAGGGTGAAGCAGGCACAATGGCATATTTGCCGTCTGCCTAAGTTTACCGCGCTACTACGTTAATATGCAGATCCTCTCGAACGATACTTTTAAGAAGGAGGTAACTAATGACTTGTTGATATGTGTTTAAGATTTTGATCAACACAAATCGATATAACGTTTTTGTAAACCAGATTTAGCATTGGTTTTGACTTAACCAGTGGTTGTTACGGATCGAAGCTACAAGAGCTTACCGGTGAGAACGAATCTTACAGGCAAGTTGCTATGAATTTTGCAAACTGTTATAGCTCCGTGGCATTTTTCGTCGCCGAGGCAAACTAATATATAAAAATAATTCAATACAGCAGAACATCTCTATTAATATAAAGTTTACTTACATTTCTGTATACATTCTCTTTCGAGGTGGCAGCTGCTCAAAGATTTCAAGAGGTTCACCTGAAGTGCCTCCATCAATGAGAAAGTGCTCGTGTGTGCTGAGGTACTCGAGTGAAGACTGTTTAGCTGCTTTTGCAAGGGCTAACAGTTGTGTCTGTAATACCGGTAAATTGGCTCGCAGAAAAGGTACTACAAACGCTTTCAGATGAAGACCAGTTAATTCCGCTACACGACATCGGAATTCCTCGAGCGAGATTGTCGCACACTGAAATCATTTTCACACTTATCATAAGTCGAATTTCAGGCCATGAATACGAGCGTCGGTTCATTGTATATTTTAGTCTTATGCCTGTTACGTATATCTATCGATAACAGATAGTTGCATAACTAAGAGTTTTTTTTTTTTTTTTTTTTTTTTAATGGTCAAAAGGAAGCTGTCTTTAAGTAAATCTTTCACATAGATGCTTACTGTTTTAAACGGAAATAAAAAATCGTACAGCGAACGCATTTGGGGTCATATGTTTAGCTCGAATGCAGGCTCATTGCTAGCATGCATAACAACAGATGTATGAGTTGTAAAAGCTCGTACCACAAGCGAGCAGATGAACTTCGTAGCGACTTCACCAGCTGACGGGGACACATCCACGCAGAAATTTCTGATAATAGTGAAAACACGCCGAATCTTGTTGATTTTCTGAACACTTCCAGTTCCTGGTATGCTTGCTAAAGAAGTTCCTGTTGGTCCTGGGCCTCCTGGAGTAACGCCTCCTTGCACATCAGCTACTCCTGTAGAAGGTGTCGAATCCGATGTCGAGCTGGGAGAGGTTCGGTTACTTTCTAGTCGGTGACTATTCGCACGTTCTGGAGAAGGGGATTGTCCTGAAAAGAGTTTAAGATGCACGTGCTTCATATATTGATTAAGTACTACTAGATCTGCGTGTAAAATAGCAGTAGGACAACTTATACTTCCTCGACTCTCGCTTTTCTCTGGCGCTCCTCACTGATATAGTTTTATTAGTGCCTGCTAGCATGCTAACGTTTAGTAAATCACAGAGTTTCTTCATTTAACTAGAGAATTTAATCCCCATGCGAAAGGCGCCTGTTCGCAGATAAAGTTATTTCGATTGGTGGAGAACGAGGAGATTGTATTTATTCTGAAAGCTTAGTTCAGAAACCGGTGGACAAGTAAATTATATTTTAATAGGTTCTTAATTTTGATTTTAACCTCTTTTAGCTCTTATTTTTTTATTTAGTGTACAGTATTTAAAAGCGAAGATAACAGTGGAAAAACGTAAGTTTAGTTGAGTATATATCTGTATATACGGATTGCGCCAGTTTACGTTGAGTACTTAGTAATTCATTGGAATCCAATTGCTTATGGAATGATAAATAGGTGGCTGAACGAATTTAACCAAAGAAAGGCATGAAAATTCCAGCAGTAAACTAATAGAGTTATGGATACAAATCACAAGGCCCCTATTTCGCAGTTGGTCTCTAACTTGTTTTTTTTTTACTTATATTCGCTATTAAGCTTCAAAGTGACGATTTAATGCAGAAGTCTCAATGTATATCTCGACCCAAAAAGAAGTAGATACAAAGTTCTATTAAAATTCAACCCCTCCTACAGCAATATTTAATAATGTGCACCCGTTATTATATAAAAAAAAAATCTGTGTATCTTGTCTGCGTCAGTTTTTCAGTCGTATAAAATTAAAAAAAGTCAAATAAGCCTAATTTAATTCCAACGGACACGTTGCCTAATGCTTGCTAAGCATCATCAATCCTTAACGGTGTGTAAAAAATATATTCACAGTTTGTATATATATATATATATATATTTTCTAATTCCAAATTAGAACAGTGCAAATCTTACCTCTGGATGGAGATTTGCTAAGGTGCTGTGTAGGAGTAGCTGCTTGAGGATGACTCTTAGGTGACTTCGCCACCTGCGTGGCAACTTGCCTTTGCTCTGAAGCACCTTCACTAGCAGTGGCATCCGGCATTTTCACCCTGCAATCGTAGAAAGCCATAGAAAAAACGGTTAAACAGTTACTTTAAATACAATTGTCAAGGACCAGATAGTCCTGCTAATTGATGTAATTTTTTTTAGTTAAGGTTAGTTAAGCCCTATGAAAAATTCTGTAGCAGTCCAACCAGGCTTATCTCACGTTATTAAGACTCCACTGATAGCTTTTTCTAGTGATTACTTAAACATCGTAAGAACAGCGACCAACGTGTCCTAGCAGCTTCCTTCACAGCCTAGTGTAAACCGTATGAGTCCTAATGAGGTTTCGGAACGTGAACACCTGTGATGTATTCGCTTGCGCCATATCTTACAGTGTAAATTAAGAGACAATTACAAGACACATATGAATTTTGACGACACCTTCAGAGGCGTAGATCTTCCGCGTTTTTATAGCTTCCCTATTCATAAGCAGGAAAGATTTAAATAATCCAATTATCGCATGTTACATACAGTATACAGTCTTACCGAAATCCATTAATTTTTATCATATATTATCCACATCCGTCACGTAGTTCCTGCATAGATCACTGTCCGTAAAGAAGTGCATCTAAGAATACGACTCTGGTTAGCAGTAAATTCGCTGACCCTCCCAGTATGTTCGAGTGTTGAGAACAAAACCAATTTAGTAAAACAAGGAAGTAGGTACGATCCTAAGCGGAGCTAACTCCTGAACACCTCAAATCGCCTAGACACTTGTAGACGCTTGTACTGCAACCTACACATTTTGTATACCCAGTCCCACCGTGCCGAAAGGGACCAAGTTGACCGGCAGGAATAGGTATAATGTTAACGTTAAATCAGCAATGCAGTACAATCATGTGGCCTTCGAAACAAAGGAGCTACGTGCAACATCGATTTCGTTTAAACGTTGCAAGATTTGGTCCTTAGATAGAGTACACCAATTGAAAAACTATTTCACAAGGGTTACTGCCCAAACAAAGCCTGATATTGAAGTGTTATTTGCATTCCATAATACATTGTCCTCATCATCTACACGATTTTACGAAACCGGTAGTAAATGATCTGAGAACAACTGTCCAGCTATTCAGATAGTAGGTCTAATGATACAAGTGCCAAACATTACTCCGCTACTGTGATATCACTCTCCATGGGGGTTTCTCGAGGCATATGACCGATGTGGATTTGCGTTGTCGGAGTTCAGCTTTAGATACAATGATCAATATAAATAAAGGGAAATAGAATGTATTAAAATCCCGCATACAATCAAATGCTAAAACAAAAGAAAAATTATCTTATTCGTACAGTATAGTATACAACTGGCTTTATCCTATTATTCTCATGTGGGTTTTGAGCGTTACGGCGTTGGACTAAAAGACGCGACGAAAACACCTTACGACGCACAGCTCTGGAGATTATATTTTTCATTTACCAAGTACTCTTTTTTTTATCAATGAAGATATCATTATATTAATTACAAGGCTTTCCTGTCTATAAGTTGCTTATTCGGGGGCAAAGATAGCTACAAGAGAAGCAGACAACGCTTTCGTCTACCCGGAACGGCCTTTTTCGACATTCTCAGTAACAGCTTCATTAACAGTGATAATTGTGGCTATCATAATTTGTTGTTGTAACGGTGCTATTGTTACAACTATATTCTTATAGTCGGGAGTAACAGCTGAGGCAATTCATCGGGGACGTAAAATATGCTGCTCCTGCTGCTCAGGCGCAGAAGTTGCCGTTATACATTATTCCATCGAGATGCAGATTCAATCTGCCAGACTCACATCCGCGTTACATCCAGTTCATCTGGTTTCGGCCTCATCTCAATGTCTGTTGGCGTCGTGGCCAACTGCCATTTTGCGGCAGCTACAGCGGTACCGCTGTTGCACCGGTTCTTACGTCGGTTTGAGACCGGCCAGACCAACTACACAATCTGCCAAAGCTTTCTGCGGTAACGACGCTCTGCATGATCACGTCGCCCTCTCATAGCCTTCCCGTATCATACTAGGCAGCAGCAGCTGCTATGAACGGGTACAGTTACGAGAACTGAGAGCCGCGGCTGCAGACACCAGACAAAGGCCAGACGCGCCTACACCAGCCAGACAGACTTAAGCGCTACGATCTCCGCATTTTCTTACCCTAATACGCAGAGCGGCTCTCGCAGCTTCCGACGGCAGCTGCGAGAAGCGGCAACGCACGAATATATTCTGTAAAGAACCACGTTCGTTCTGTGCAAGTCATATAAATATCAGATCCGCATAGAATAGATTGCGACGCCGGTGGTATCGTAATCCGTTATACGGACCAGCAAACCAGCGATCCTATCGGGCGGTAAACGCAGATATCTAGGGGAACCTTCGGTAGCCGGCCACAGTCCGTCGAAAGCTACACAGGTGAAAGCCCTTCGGATAGAGACATTTTAGGCAGCTTGGACACGCTCCGCGCGCTCTATTCAATAAGATTTCGAACATTAAAGATTTACTCGAAACTAATCTCACTTCGAGACTAACCCAACTCAGATAACTCATTTTGACATGAATTTGAATGGTCTCTATGGCTGGTAGAAATAAAAAGTACAAATCAATGTACAATGTCACAACAATGCAGACAGCGGAACCTAACTTTTCCGGAGGTTCTCCCAACTGTGCTGCCCTATACACACACTATTTACCGTCAAGTTTTTCATACTCTACTTACTTCGCTTGCTTCCTATGTTCCTTGTGTTTTGATTTTTTTCTTACGCAGTATTACTTAACCCAAACAGCAGCGAAATCCAAATATTTGTCACGTTATTCAGCATAATAAAAGGTAGACGTCCTCTTCGTTTGAAAGATTTACTGCACCTGCATTGAGGCAAACAACGACGAAATCCCTAAAAATCAACAGTAAAACTTGAAACCATCAAGTTCCGGCGTTTTAATTCCTAAGGCCTAATATTTTTTTGTCATTCATTGAGTTCATATAAGTTAATCTTGCAGTTGCATTTCGTAGGTACGTGAAAATCTTACCTATATAAAACTTGAACGATGTTGGTAATGGGGAATTTTATTCCTTGGAAATCTTCAATAAAGTCCAGTAAGATCTTATTCATACACTAACCTTGCCAATTTTCCATGGTAATTTCTTCCTACCGACTAATATATGTTGATTTGAATTATTTGCGTACTAAATAGAGGATTTGTAAAAGTGAATTAGTGACTAGTAGATATGCACGGTACATATAACAACCTTTTAAATCGTTCCCTACTCTCTGATAGTGCATCCTTTTTATGATGGTCTCCATTGGCATGGCTGTATTGCCCCTATGGATGTTTTGTCAGTGACCCGACACAATTGAGCCAATACTGGAGTTCATGTTTACCGAACTAACGAAACAAACGTTTTGAGCTATTTCGGGCTTGTAATACAATTACAATGCAATAATTATAACTACAGCATTTAATAAACAACGAGTAACAGCTGTTTGTGTGTTATACACAGGTAAAATCATCGTGTAAAAAATAGGCACATGTGATCCTAAATATTTCTGTTCAAGCTATTGCAATGTCAATTTAATCTTTAGAGGATCTCGGTCTTGGGCGTAGATGAACACCGACCAACGACCATGTAGAGCAATTGAGCGGTCTCAATATAGGAAATAACCTGATGAATTTCCAAATAGGCATAAGCAGACCAAATATTAACAAACAAATAACTAGATTGAGACTCTCGCCTTAGATTCGACAATTGATCAGACATATAGGTTGCGTCGACCGATAGTATATAGACCTCCATTGTTGGACGTTTAATACCAGAAACGACAGTATGAAGACGTAGAAAAAATACCTTTTTGGATTATGCAGTCGCCCTGGACCACAGGCCTGACTCGGCAGAGGTACGGATCGAACATAAATTAGCGATTTCTGCCTATACAATTAACAGAAACTAGATTCATTAATTTCATTTGATTGATTAGGGTGTCTGGTTGACATACTCAATGGTTCTCTCGGCGCTCCTGTTTCTCCTGACTTCTGTTCGGATGGCGTGCGTAGGGAATCAGAACTCAGTAGAAAGGTACCAGTTCTTTTGGTCGCTTATTGCACACCAGGCACACATACCCAACGTATGGATCAGGTGGCGGACATGCTAAGCTTTAAAGCAGCCATTCAACGAAAAGCTAAACAGTGTAAGCTTTGGAATATATCTGCTCTAGGTCAATGCAGCTACTTAGGTCAGAATCGTTCTTTCCTCACCGAACGAATATAATAAATTGGTCTTAGAAAGTTAAGCATTAGCAATGTTGAGGGCTTAATCTTTTTAATAGACTTTCTTTAGCTCTAGATATATTTCGTTAATCAGGATCGTTAGGGCACAATTTCACTACGATTGTCCTGTATCCGGCCACATTATTCAAAAGGTTATATTTCATCCTATGTCTAAGCGCGGTTATAATTTACATTAGATCACTTCCTGTAATTTGTTGCATTTCTTGGTACTTGATAATATGTTTGTGAAAAAAATAATTTGTTTATTTAGTTTGAAAGGTTGCTCAGGACTTCTGCACTAGCCGACATGTAATGAAATGACAAAAGGCGCTCTTGTTTGCTATCATTGTCTTACATAGTCCCATAGTTACTTTAGAGTTTGAGGGTGACAATTTCAATATACAATGTCTATATTAAGTAATCATAATAACAGCTAATATTCAGATATTTTTATAGTAAAAATCTCTCATGCAGGATAGAAGGGCAAAGGTAATATGGAAGCTGACTATCAAAGTCACGCTCCAATCACTTGTCCATCCAGACAAGTACGTATTCGTATGCTGGAAAGTCTGCACCTTTACTGGGCTGCTAGCGAGTCAGCTCATCTGCTTTATTCCCCATCTTTCAATAACGAAGCTAATGCTAACCCAAGGCGTTACGGATGATAGGACCGGTTCTCACGGTTGTGCGAAATAGTACTTCCACACTCTACTTCCCAAACGAATCAAACAGGATAGCGAACTAGTTTTACCAGTTGGAAAGATCAACCTATGAAGAAATTACTGATTCTTTGCAGATCTGTGAAACGAAAGACTCGTCTTCGATTGCCCACACAGAGAGTATTAACAGCTGTTTGTTGAGAGCTTTCGACTTTAAAAATTGTCTGTCGTACGATCGATCAGGGCTTTCATAATAAAAGACGATCCAAGTAAATCTCCCGCCATGCACGAAATCTACTGGTTTAGCTAAGTAGCTACTAGTTCAGATGATCGTCAAAAGGTCCAAGCTTCTAATGTACGTTTCAATAAATGAAAAAACCTATTTCTATAATACTTGTATGTCTTGGGCTCGAGTAGTGTTCAACAGTATACGCACTAATAACCTTCTACCCAGGGTTCAAACTCTGGTTAGAACAACTGCACGTGTTCTTCACATTTAGCCAAAGTGAAGAGCTCAATCAAAAACCAGCGACACTAGATCCGAATGGTATAAACCTCATATCCGGTACGTATGCCGTTAGACACCACCACGACGTCACTTTACGTATGGGGGGACACAAGCGATTTTCATACGTGCTAGACCTTTCGATTTTACTTAACTTCGCGAGCTAATCCGTGTGACGCATACAACTAGCGTACTTCCGATGTCTGTTTTTACTTCATGAAACGCTGATAGTTCTTCGGTAGTTCGCGTATTAAAAACGTAGAGCAGAAACTTGACGACCGGCTCAAGTCCAGTTAATCGCTCGCAACTTACATAAGATACTAGATGCGATTTTGAATGGGCTGCTTGATTACGGTATTGGTCAGAGAGTATTTAGTAGCTATCACAGGTATACGAAAGGTACAAACAAAAATTAATCTGAGTGCTAGGAGAAAATATGGTGATGTTTTATGACGTCTTACGTACATCTAAAACCTCTAAATATTATTGATTGCTAGAGGTCGAAATCTTTTACATGCACAAGTCTACCCCAGTTCGAAGAAGCCATGGTATTTCGTCTATTGTATTTTTTTATTATGGACTAGCCCGAGCAAGATCTGGCCATAGAGAAGCGAGTGTTTATCTATCCGAATGCACGAAATCGACCATAACTCTATCTCGAACCCAATCTTCTGATCGATTCCTGTATCTTGAATCAAAATGATATTCCCATAAGTCAAAGTTAACTAAAAAGGGCCAATCGGTCTTTGTCGTCCTCATGGGCTGCAATATCGTTGGGCAAGTAGGGCATTGAAGCGTCCGCTTTCGACTCATTCTTTGTCCTTCGATAGCGCTATTATGTTATTAGTAGTAGCAGTAGATATAGCAGTGGTGGCGATCGGACGATAAGGTTTACCCAGCGGCCCAGGGATGGTCGGCTGAGCACACCTGAATCTGAACAGAGCTAACCAACTGCTGCTGGGTCAAGGGTCGGATTCACGACAGGGAACGAATAATGATAACGAGTGGATAGAAGCACGCATTGTGATCATTTCGCTGAACTTCATGTACAGGCCCATTGCAGTTCTGAAGTGCAACAACAAAAAATACGCAAAAGGAAGTTAAGCCGCAGCAAAAAGCCTCTCCTGCCATAGAAACACGGTGCAGCAGGTACAACAGGCTGGCCATTATCGTCGCACTGTTACTGTGAAAACAGAAAAATATTTTCGATATATCTGAAACTCGTAAAAAGTGCTCTCGTATTTATTCTCTCTCAACATAAACGCGAGCTGAACGCGCGTTGGCCCATGTTAATAATTCTAGTAATGATTTGCCACAATTTACCTCGTCGACACAGTTTTAGTTAGCATTTAAATTTTCCGTAAGTAATTGTCGGTGAAGGCGCGGTAGCAGAAGATTCGCTGACCTTTCGCCAATTCTCTATATAGGCTCCAGGCAAACGGAAAATGAAAAGGACATGCTCCTACTTCTATAGAGACCACCACTGATGTATCACGAGATAAGTGCTTGTAAATTAGTTAGCAAGAGGTATTCGGGTGTGCAGTGTCTACCCTTAATTTTGCTAATTTAGACAGGACGTATTCTTTTTCCTGGAGCTCGATAGTGAGGACGGTTAGTGTAAACGTAGTGAATCTGATGTCGATCTGGGATATGTTAGGAATGATACTTCACGTGTTGATCATTCTTTTTCCGAAGGTTTTTTTTATTACGCAACGATACGATTTGGCGCCGCGGTAGATGGTCGAGTTGACCCTATAGACAAAGAAGAACTTTCTCAACTTGCAGTCGGACTAAGTTGATAGATTTTTGAATTGATATGTGACCTGAACGGGAGAACCTCAGAAAGATACTTTCTAGGGATGGGGTAACAAACGAAAGGGATGGCACATCTCAATTAACATATATCTATGACGCATTGCGAGCATCACAAAATGATATTGAATTATGTAGCAGAAAGCAAATATATGTGTTTTTATTAACGTGGATTTTATTTTTATGCAGTTTTGGATCATATAATATTTCCCAGGATTCCCTTCGTACTAACGAGTTGACCTGATTAATTACGTCTACGTTTTTAGGCTTTTGGTATTTGTGTGCGTATTGCTATAATTGTATTTATATGTCAGCGTTCGAGTCTTCGCTGACTTCCCTTCTTTAGTCGAGTGTCACTATGGCTTACGCATGTTATGGAAGTCGACAACTAGCTGCAATAGAAGGTCATGGTGAACTCGACGACACGGCTTCACTCTGAGGCACATTAAGAGTATTCTTATTGTTACGACTATAATACGAAATAGTTGTAATATGCAGTTATTTACTAGCGGCAAGTGAAGCAAAAGACGGCATAACCCCTCGCTTGCCTTTCTATTTAGTTCGACTGTGAGACGGTACCTCAGAGGGTAAGGCGTCTCAAATTGACTACCATTAAACGCAGATTGGAGAGTCGCACAGCAGAAAAGATGGGCCTTCGATGGTAAAGACAGTAGAAAAAACCTTCCCTATCGTCGCTGGCGTTATTAGAACGTAGACAAAGACAATAGGGATGCCACAGGCTGACCAAGAGCCCTTGATATGGGTGGGACTTTCAAGTGGAAGCCTGCCTAGGAATTTGGATAGTAAGCTTCAAGCTTCAGCTTCCAGGGGGTGTCCAAGGGCCAAGGATACAAGGATTACTCATCTGTCTTAGGTTTTACGTCGAACCAGCGGTAGTGGGCAACGTTGTCGCGAGCTCTCGAAGCCTTTGTGCTGCTATCATCCTTCTTGGCCCCCATTTCCTACAACATAGGGGCGCCATTATTGGCCTTGGCTTGCACACAATTAGCACCACTACCGCCAGAAAAAGCTGCTGCTGCTGCTGCTGCTGCAGTCGCGAGGGTGGTAGTAGTGGCCTCAACGCAGGAGCAATGGCTCTACACCAGTCAGGCAAACAGGGAAACAGCCATTTAGGGGCTGAGCAAGCAGAGCTGGGGGTAGCTTGGGCCAATGGGCGGGTTCTTTTGAGGCCTTGTAGCCTCCTGCTACGAGGTTCCCTTCGACGGCGGCGGCAGCAGCAAGCGATGGCCTGTCTGCCTGCTTGCCTGCCTGCCTTCCTGCCTGTTTGCCTGCCTGCCTGCCTGCTGCTGCTGTTGGTAAAAGCGTGGGATAGAGGCAGATAAAACGAAGAAAGAGGTGCAGTAAGAGAGTGTGCAGCTGTTGGCTCAGAGCAACGGAGTCGGTCGGTGTCGGCCGGCGCCTGTAACAGCCGCGCGTTCTAGGGGCAATCCAGATGTGATAGAGGACCCCTAGCCGACAATCCCTGGCTGCCCTAGCCCAGGCACAAGTCTGACGGCGTGGACCAGCTGCGCAGCTGGCCCCGTCGAACCTCTCCTATGGCTCCCCGAGTACAGGAGCTGCTGAATGCGGCGACTGCAGCAGGTGTTCTTGGCCTTCGAGGCCACCACTGCCGCCGCAACTTGAAGATTTTTCCCCTTTTCCGTTAGCCCCTATACGCATCCCTTTGCCCTTCGGCCAGCTGCCCCGCTGCCATCTGCAGGCCCGCAGCAGCTGCTTCAACACACCGCTGTGCCTCCTCGTACTCCGTACCCACACAACACGAAGCAGCGCCGTCCAAACGAACCCATTTTTGTCGGAGTTTCAAACGGGATGAAGGAAGAGAGCGAGAAACAACCATAGAGAAGCTTCCAAGTGTTCTTCGAAAATACAGAGACAGATAAAGCTATGGTAGCACTGGCTGGGCGGCAAGTTGCCTGTCAGCTCGGATCACTTCATATCGACTCGTAAAGCTAGGCAAATGCTGCGATCCAACAGCAACGCGGACGCCGCGGCTGACTTTGATCTTCAGTTGAAGAGCTCGACAATCAGTTTGACTATGCTGCAGTGATTTATAACCTAACGGACACAGAGCGCCTCCGAGGGGGTCATGACGCGTGTTATAATCAAACCGCTCGCGGCTTTAATCTCTCACGCGCACCCTTCACGGTTTTTGGACTTCACCATTACACTTCTCAGCTATTGCTTCGCGAAGGAGGGAGCGCTAAAACGGCCTCTTACAAAGGCTTTGCTATCGGCAGTAATTACGCGTCGCGTCTGAGCATACCTTCGAAGGCTTCGGACTCAATAAACGTATACTAAAACAGAGTAGCCACTGAATTTATCAGCTCTCAATAATCGAGTAAGTAGTTTTACTGTAAGTGTCTCCATTTTGGCTCATCTTAGACAACAACATTAACATCGTTAACAGAAAGCTTTGTGTTTGCATGATTGTCCATCACTCACGCAATGTCGACCTTGAGCCTAACGTTGCTTTGTCTCCTATTTAGGGCTGAGATATCCGGTTTCGAACATTATGATAAACTTCTTTGCTATCTGCGTCACTGAAAGGAACAACAACAATTGATAACAAGATTAATTTTGCAAGTTCCACAGTATTATAAGATAGTTGTATGATATACGAGCCATCAAGGTTACCGGCAAGTTTCCACATATGATGCATTGCACATCGTGTTCTTTCACAAATGACCCGGTTGGCACGCCCTATGCGTAGACAGCGGAACCTGCTTCTGTACACTCCCACATGCCCCGTACGCTTGCTATAGATACCTGCGGCAATAGATAACCCGGTATGCCATCTATGCTCTACTTTCATCATTAAAAATTTTCCGTACAAAACCTTTGGTCTTGGTGCACCACACAGAGCGACTGGGTACCCGCCCCATAAGGGGTTTGACACCTGACGTCAGATGCGCCCAATGTGTTAACTAGTCGCAAAATATGACGACACTATTGGTTGATGTATCATAAGCTGGATATTCAGGTTTGTCTCTGGCTATTTGTTAAAATAAGTTTTGCGGTGTTGAGATGAAGCACACACCCGTACTGCACCTCGAGAGCCCTCTTGTCATCGGAAAACTATGATTTACAAGCAACAGCTTGAATACTAAGCCCGAACAGCTAGTCCTGATTCCAATAACGTAAAGAAGGAGTTATAATCCTTCATGGTTTAAGTAACCTTAAGAATAGCGTGAGGTGTTGCATTCCTCTAGTTCATAGGTCCAGTCGTACATAAGGCTGGACCGTGTCGGGCAGCGTATATAGAATCGAAATAGTATAATAACTTAGAAGCTATGCAAAAATGGAGATCGCAATATAGAATCGAATTCACGAGAGTAAACAGAAATGGAAGTATTCAGCGGAGACGATAGAAGGCAACTAATAGTCGCGGATAAAGGTAGGCTGAAACAGGGTCATACCGACGATAACAGCAACAACAAGCTCAGGCACAAAATATTTCTTAGCAAATAAAAACAATGCGATCCGTTCAGATCCATAGTCTGTTTGGAAATGATCAAGGGAGTCTCCCTTAATGCGCAACACGTGGTCGAGCTAAAACGTGGACGAGAGACTCGCCGATCGGATATTTAATTGTCACAACTAATGGTAAGCTTGAATTCTGTGTAAACCCTCTAGCTAAAAGCACGCAAAATTTCCATTTTGCTATAGGACATTGAAATTAGCTGGCCAAGTCCGCGGCCTTACTATTGTAAACTACTTTTCATAATGAACGTTCCTAATCTTGTTCATTTAATACCCGTTGGCTTATAAAGAAGTATATTAACTGGGTATACTCGAGCTAGGTGACTACGGGACCGACTTAATGTAGACCATAGTTGAAACCATAGTTCATAAAATACTAGCAAACATGATTTTCTCGTGTGAAAAGAGCGTTTCGTTAGAGCTGACACGTGCCAGTCGGCTAAGATTTATATATATATATATATATATAAATCTTCGCCGATATATATAGATAACTTTATTCGAGCCCATAAACTTGAGCAATATTATGCCTATGCTAAGTGGATTTATCTGTCGAAAATCTTATAACCTTATTACCTTCGGGAGCCGCTGTGCAGGTTCCATGCAACATACAGATCGGCAATTGAGCATTTGCATGAAGTGTGAATGATACAAATCTTGTTATTGACAAACAAATAGAATGTTTGTCGTAAAATGAAAAAAACATTTAGAACTCGACGCAGCCAAAAGGCGCACGACAGGAGTGCACGCAGACCGATGTAGTACAAAACGTGTATGCATACGGTGCACGTTTCGGCTAAGTGTGGCGAAGTCTAACTGTTCCGAACAAATGAATCGTTGAATTTCCAAAGGGAGCGTGAAGTAGAGGTGAGATCGTGGCTGATTAACTAAACAAGCGTTTTCTCTCCGTCTTGCAGGTGGAATCATGGCCTGCTCCAGTTTCATTTTACCGATTACTAAGATATATGTCTAGTTTGAAAAATTCCCGTGTAGTAGCACTGGTAGTACTGGCTGGCTTGGTGGGAACTGTAGTCACCTCTATCCAGCCTGTAACATCCGATTAGTGATTGAGAGGTCGCCATGGTCGTTTGATCCTCCTGCCGGACAAAGTTGATTGCGTTATCCGATAGACTTTATCCCCATAACGAAGCTAAATTGACAGGGTTGCTCGTTATGAATCATTACTACGACGGTAGAAAATGGCGGAAAACATAGCAAGCTTTATATCAAACCTGTCTACCTGATTTGATGATTTTCAGTTTAAAACCGACTGCATCACTTAGGCTAGTTTTTAATTCAAATAAACTTTATTCGAACTGGCCCAAGGCCTCTGAGCCTTAGGCCGGTTCGAAAAAACCGAGCCCAATTACTAATCAAATGGCAGTCTTGTGTAATATATAGGAACAGTGAAATTAGCGTTGACATCAAGTTATTGTGAGCAACGTCTAATAAATATTAAGAACTATGAGCGGGTAACGGGTTTTATACGGTGTACGTTGATAACTCTGAGAATTTATTATATATTTTCTGTGCTACATGCATTGAGCTAGCAGTGTTCTATGGTCATTCGTCGGACTGGTAGCTTGAATCGCCGTGGATGTGTACATTGATTTGTGTGTCGAACAACAAACTTAGAGCGTATGTACTATAGAAAAGAGTTAGTGCCCGAACAGAGCGAACACAATCCGAGTGACCGTTGATACCATATTTAGATGCTGAGGAAAAACCACCATGTGTACGTAGTTGTCAGAAGATTGAAGAAAAGATCGATAAATGTACACATTGGAAGAAACCCTAATTTAGGGGAGATTAGATAGCATAACATTTAAGGAGCCGACAAGTTCATTCTCTAAACATTGCGCCAAGACATACTCCAGATGAGTTCAATTGAACCACTGTCCGATCGGTGTTGACTGAGGTGTCTGCTATGTTAATGGAACATTGAAAAGTTTTAAGGATGTCCTAAGGATGTAAGTTCCTCCTCAAGGTGGCAGATGTCTGCATTGAAAGGCAATTCGCCAGTTTGCCTTATAAAAATTAGGTCGTCAGCAGAATAAACGGAACGCAACCTGTTACTCACTGATGAGGAGCACTACATTACATTAAGGACAATTATAAGTGAGCGTAAAACTGAACTTTGTGAAATCATACACGGTTTAATAAATAGTTATTCTAAACCGTACTTTCAGTAGTGTGGTTACAGATCGGTTAGTCACGCAAGAGGTGACCTGACGATAATAAACTACAGGAAAAACGCTACAATAGGAAATATGTATTAAGACATCGTGGAAAATGGTGTTAAATAAGTCACAAGGCAAAGTATTTGAGCTTCAAGGTGGCACCTGACACATTTTTCAAAGGCCTAAGACATGTTAAGCTATAATAATAATAATAAAAAGTAATAGGTGAGGAACTAAAAGCAAATCCATTAGAGGCGGGGGCGTCCAGACATGGGATTGTGCTGGTAGTGGTAGTGATGACGGATACGAATCTAGCCAAATTTCAATATCACTTTCCGAAAAAAAGACACGCAAATAACTCATCTAGTTACTAGCTTTCCCAAGTCATCATGTCCGATTCCTTAGTTCATGATGAATAGATCTGTTTAATACGACCGCAGAATACGTTAATGAGCCAACACAGCAATTTAGTATCAGTACAAATCATTATGACCCCCACTGGTAGCAATCCAAGCCGACATCTAATTTTTAATACATTGCACTATGTTTTTGATTGGTTTTGTTAGAACAAATATATTTTTTCTTAACTTGTGCAAAGTGCACCTAGAAAGACGCAGCGGTGCTTAGAAAATTTCGGACATGAGCCGTTTACAACGGATAATATTTTTTACTTATCAGTTAAAATCACTTGTACCAAGACTTCTCGGATTGGCGTCAGAGGGTAACTGTCCGAGAACGAATAACCTGATGTAGAAGATAACAGGTCAGAGGGAATATTAGATTGTATGTCTGCTAAGACGATCTCAACCACTGGCGCACCAAGCGACAAAAATATATACGCTATATACGACTCTTCTCTGCTTATTTTATTAATCACAGCCGGCGTTTGGATGTTTGGAGAAGAGGCATAATAATGGGTAGTCTGAAGATTGCTTGTCTGCAATTGGTGAATTTTGTTTGTGGCACCCAGGACAATCGTGGGCGCTTGATAATAACAGTAACCGTCCCATCGATGTATAAGGTCAAGTAGCTTCGAACAACAATGCAGCCAATAGATCATCGCTTCCAGCATCACTCTCTAAAATAAAAAGAGAATTCATGGATCGTCGTGGAGGGCACGAGTTATCGTACAGCGTTAAAATTCGTATAAAAACAGTAGTAGCATGATCTTGTAGAATAGTCTTCCAACTTCAATCTAACCGTCTGCCTGTGACTGGGCTAATTGTTCATATTTCCCCCTGGCTATAATGTGACGGATATTAATATAAGCGTACAGGGTACGGTAATACTATAGAGCATGCATATTTGGCAATGTACATGCAGTCAACTTCGTAGCAGGAAAACGAATCGTGTCTCACTACAGGTAAAGAAAACTTACCTCGCGGTGCATGCGCATTGCGTTTATTAGAGGCAGACGTACTTATCTGCACTTAGCGACTGACCTCTCGCCATCCGCTGGTTGCCTGTCTGAGCTTGTACATAGTATGAATTTAAAATTTTTACATTCATTCCAATGCTACATATGTCACAAGAACTTTGATGTCTGAAAGCGTCTAAACACATAGTTGCTTATTAGTTAATAACACTCTCTTAGGCTTCACCGAATAGAGTATAACAAACTTGTTCAGGAATAATCATCATCATTACCAATAAGAACCAGTAATTCAAGGGAGTGGGCTCCCTGCAGGAGCACTTCGATAATAAACTTCATGTTCTTAAATCGAAAAATTTCACAGAATCATTGTTCTAGCCATCAATGTGTGACTTGCGGTAGCAAAGAAACTAGAAAATAGTAAACATTAGGCCATGAATAAGGCGTAAATCGACAATTCCAATTTATTCCACTTGATTCTAATTCATCAACTACCGCAGTTTTTTTCCTCTACAGACGCATTGATGATGAAGAAAAAAAGGCCTCATCAAGCTATGCTTTCATCCCACATCAGTTATTGTTTATTTCATTTATTTGTCTATAAAATATCGTAATACTTATAAAAACGACTGTTTTTTAAATATCGTATTGTGCTCATGTAAAAATGCAAGGACTTCCTTTACGCATAATTTGCATGTTTTTTTTTTATTGTAGACCTATCAGGAAAGGTGGGTGCGTATATCGTCTTTTTAACGTTTCCGCATAAAATTTACCGCATAAATGATGATACAAAAAAACAGACGTTTGCATATTGGGAAGCAACTACTATGGACTATCTAACGGATATGGGCCAGAATTTCGGTCATTCCGTCGTAAATCTCGTAATCGCAAAGTCCGTATAGAGTTTGATTTCGTTCGATACTTGTTTCCTATACGGTACAATTACGGTAATCTTGTTTCAGCCTCAATATACGTGCACTAGCTTCCACATGAGAAAATGAATGTTCTCTTTTTTCTTTTTTCCCTATTGATCTGGGGATCAGGAAAGTTGTTAATTTTCCGGTGAATTCGGGTTCAACTAAAAAACACCCTGTTTCATTTTCATGCAGCAGCTAAGTAAAACTAGGCGCATCTGTACCAACATGGATCAGACAAGGATCGGGACATGGTCGGGGTTTAATAAAGAAGCGTAGTAATAACGAACAGGGATACAGAAAATCGAACGGCTGCAAAGTGGCGTTTATTGTGACAAACAACGTAATTAAACACTGCCAAATTGGCCGTGGTAGCCTTTTTTTCGCGTTGCAATATATACGTAAACCCGATTCTCTATTGCTTCAGTGGGGCAATTCATCAGGGATATTCTATCAACACACTAATCGATCATTCTGTTAGCAAGCATTTTTGCTGTGTAAATAATTAAAAATATTATTTATAACAGGATATTTGCCTGTTCAAAACCGTGTAAAAATTCAGTCTAACCGATGCGTTTTAGGACACGAAATAAAGTTGAAAATATACTCACTAGAGGGACAGGGCCTGTCGAAAACTTATATCACTAGAACATTACAATGTGTAAATAGCTACGGCATCAGACACTGCCGTCGTTGACATGCATCACACAATACAAAACTAAAAATGACTAGGTTCCCCCCAAGTAATAAACGGAACCCGATATATACAACGCCTGCGCTATTCCTCTACTGTACGAGTTAGCATTGCGACTAGATTCTCCGGTGATCAAAAGATCAATTTTTAAACATACGAAAAATGGCAGCTTTGGCCCAATGTTTCATCAGTCTGGGGTACTGCACTTTTCCCTCTTTTCCTTGATAACTCTTTTAAGCTGATATCTTTCAGCTGTTTTCGCACTTTTTGGTACACCATAATCATCTTCTGTCAGGGCTATCTGACAACGTTAATCCGTGACGCAATTTTTTCACCCCCTTTGATTTTTGTTATTATTATCACTTTGTACTCAATAAATAACGACTTTTGATCCGTAGTTAGAATAGCGCTTACCGCTCGGTGTTGCGAGATTCTCAACTGCACTGAAACATGTTTCAATCGAATCTTACATGCTGCTTCTATTATGGAAAAAAAAAACAACAAGTGAGCTCACCTTTCAGTCAGATCTGGTTTGTTCTTCAGAACTAATGGCGTTGTAACCTGTGTTTCCGGATTTTAGTCCAACGGCCTACGGGATGCACTAACTAGTGTGCTAGTTGGATTCACTCTTTCAGTTGTGCCATATACGTTTTTCTGTTTCGTTACTGTACTAGGCGGTTTTTTTCACGGATTAGCGCGTTTTGCTACATGTCGTAACAATCCTGTTCTTCCTGTTACAGCTACCGCCTGTATGTGAGCATCGTGAACTCGTAGGTGTGCAGCAAACTTCCGGCCGTTGTCTGGTAGAACGTCAGCAGGCAGTTGCGTTCACTTTAGGCCGCCTGCTCTGGGCCGGTTTCCTCGACGGTCTACTACACTCGGGACACGTTCTTTTCCTTCTATGGAGTTTTCTGGCGCCGCACACTGCGTGTGACAGCCAAGGAATTGAAGAACAGCTGGTTGCGATGTGCCGCTTGGCTCTTGGAGAGGGTGCGCACAGCGACGACTCACTTACGGAGAGAGTGTCAGGACTACCCTCCTCCTTCCCCTTTTCCACCTCCACTCTTAAGCCATAGCGCAACTCGACGAGACGGCTGCCTCTAGTCCACTCAATGCTGCGGGGAGTGAGGAACAGCTCCGTGTACCATCGCCACGAATAGAGGCTGCTGCTGCTGCTGCTACTCAGGCGAAGCAACGCTCCAGCGGGAACCCCAAAAGTGTCGATCACCATTAAGCAAGAAGCCTTCACAGACAAGCGGGACTGGCATATGCTTGCTAACCAGTTGGTTGTCCAAGATATCCAGCATATTTGATGCTGTACAGGTGTCGAGTCAAGAGGGATGGCCTATAAGGTATAGATCGGCAGGCTCGCGCGAATACATGTCCGGACGAAGGCTGGCTGCTCGGCTAGCTTAGGGCTTGTAGCTGCGGGTAGACGGGGAGTGGGAGCGGTGATACGTCCGATTCTCCATTGGAAACGGGGGTCTACTGTTGTTGTAAGGGGAACAGCAGCTAGTGGCAGTCACCAACAGACGCGCGGCAAACGGTGACAGCCGTAAAGGGCCGACACGTGCAGTGCCAGCCGATTGTGTGGCCAGACACATCAGAATGTGGGGGAAACACAGAGAGAGAGGGAGAGAGAAAGAAAGGGAGAGAGAGGGCGAAGGGCTACGATGTGGGCGGTAATGGTGTTTGTGGCACACTCTAAGGGAACAAGCGGGGGCAGCGCCGGAAGGCTGAAGGGTGAGAGGCTTTAGCCAACGGCAAAGCGAGGGATGGCATCTAGATCAGATGGGGGTCACGCAGGTCTTAGCTTCCACCAACATCTAGCCACTCAAACAACTAAACCCTCACAAATCCCACTCAAAGACGATGAAGAACCCTATGTGCCGATGGGAGATCACCGATCTCACTTGCACCAATAGCAGCGATAGATGACCGACAACCGGCTTACTAAGATGGGCGGCAAATTCCGACTAACCCAAAAGAAATCGACGCTCTCTCTCACTTTCTATGTTGCAGCACAGCAAACAGGCTGTTTGCGGAACTATAGAGTTTTCCATCCCTCTATCTACTTTTCACTTCTCCCATTCCTTTCGCTATCGCCTGTCCGGCCGCGACATTGTGGTGCGGTCACCGACAGCGTCCCCGCAATTGCCCCCGCCAGACAAATATCGAGGGAGAATTGTAGCGCCTACGGCAAAATTTTGAGATAGACACCGTATGCGAATGACGAGCCGAAACTCGATAACAGCAAAATACTGCTTGTGTTACCTGTCGGCGATATTGTGACATTCACTCTACCCTACGAGAGTTGGCATTACAATTGATCACCTGAAGTGTCGATGAAGCTAGCAAGAGTTGTAATCGGCTGCTTTCCGTCGGCATTTCATCCGCTCAAAATATCAAACCATTCTGAACCGTGACTCGTTCCGTCCCCCGTCCCCCCCGACAGATGCCGATCAGTGTAAATGTAAGTCCTTATAGTTAACTAATAGGTAATACTAAATGAAACAGTTATCTAAGACTGAAGTTCTCAAAAAAGGCTAGTAAGATAGAGCTCTAAATTGGCTCTCAGTTATATATTTTTGATTGTTTTGTATTCAAATGCCGCATAAATGAGGTTTTTTAAATAAACGTTTGGGAGCAATTTTTACTTTGTAGACTATACCTACTCTAATCGTGTCGCTCGTGTTGGGACTTCATCGAAATGAAGACACTAATGTAACCTGTTGCATTATAATAGGCTTTAACTGTGAACCTTTTAAAGTACACTATTACTATTATTTGTCGCCCCAATGCTAAATGCTTCCAAATTAGGCCTTCCGTCTTCAATCTAATTTTTCCTAAAATATAGTTAAATAATATTGGCTAACATGGACATGAAAAGAAAGTCTTCTGCCATAAAGGTCTAGTGATTAGTCAGCAGCTTTTCCAGATTCCGAAAACGAAAACAAGATAGATTAAAGAAAATTGACGAAGCTTCTAATAAGGACCTCTGTAGTTAAAATAGCTCCGATATGCTTGTGGGTTATCGGCCGAGAAACTACCAATAATGGTTCTAAAAACTTACCCAGGAAAAGCAATTTAATATTCTAGTAAAGAAGAATATATAAAGCCGATTATTGTAGTACAGACAACGAGGGTTCTGGTTCCATTACCAAGGTACATTCAAGATGCTACATAAGTTACGTCACACCGTTCCAGTTCAAGCTTCACCTTGAATTTGGAGGCGGTAGTTACTGAACTTCTGCAGATGTTTTTCGTCGGTCTCTGAGGGCTCGACCTGGTCATTGGGCGCCACTAGCTCAAGCTCAGGTATGAGGTGTCTTGACATGCATTTCTCTATAGGCAGCCGTTGGGACTAGGCAAACAGGCTGCAAGAAGAGCAGATGTCGCGTAAACCCTAATCGCAGGATCTAGCTGCTGAAAGGGAAGGGAGAAGGGGAGAAAAGGGCACCAGGCTCGGGCGGAGGGCGGCGGGTCGGCGAGATCAAGCTCGAAGACGACGACGACGATGGCGGCAGCAGTGGTGGCGAGTTCGAGAGGCAGGTGGGAACATGGCCGAACCAAGAAGGAAAGAATTGGGCTCACAGAGACTACGAATAGGTGGCGGGAGCTGGTTGACTAGCCAGTCGCCCGACAGCCGCGTGGTCTTGGAGGCAGACGCAGCTGTAGTAGAAGGTAGTAGAAAGAAGGCAGCTGCCGCCAAAACGCCGCTGATGGTGATGTTGGCTAGTAGCGGAAACAAGTCGAAGCTGCTGCTCCTGCTGCCACCGTTTCTACTACTACGACTACTGCTGCTTCTTCCTTTCTCGTACTGTAGCTGCTGCTACTGAAGAGTTGTAAGGCCAGTGCCATCCTCTGCAAGACCGTGCAAACCTCCTGGTTGGGTGGCAGCTGTAGTCGTGCTGTTGGCACCACTGCCCCCGCTGTACTTGCAGCAGCGGTGATGTTGGTGGTTGAAGCATCGTCGCCACGGGAGGCAGCACAGGCAAAATAAGAACTACGAAGGAGTGAGTATGGCCGTATAGGTTGGCTGCGTGTCTGTGTTAGTGAGTCAGGGTGTGCCCGAATGTATGTGCGAGTGGGTAGTGTGTCGCGGAAAGGGGGAGCGGGTACCAAACAAGTCAAGCACTGGAAAGCGTCAGCAGCAGACCAACAACGGTGAAGGCTGTGCGGTGGTGCTAGTGCTGCCACTGCCTGCCAGCGTGTGCCGGCAAACTACTGCTATTGCCGCTGCTGCCTGCAATGGCAGCAGCAATTGGCGCTTCTAGCGCAGGCAAGAAGAATATATTAGAAGCAAGACCCACGTCTTGGACTTCACAGCCAACAAGACTGCGGAAGAAGCGGGCGGGCGCCAGCTGGGGGCCGAATTTGGCTGCCACCTGCGTGCTCGCTCACTCACTCACTCACTCACTCACTCGCTCACTCGCTCGTTCGTTCGTTGGTTCGTTCGTTCAGCAGCGCAGATAGACGCAACTGCCGCCACCTACGTCGCCTCCCTGATAACGTTAGCCTACTACGCCTGGCCAAAGACCAATGGTAACGTATATCACTTGCACGAAGGCACCGAGCCGGCGTCCTCTCCAAGTACGGTAAGTTCGCCTGATATCCGTCAACCAGCCGGGTCTGATCTACAGGTCTGAGCAATGAGGCCTTAATTAATCACTGGAAACCCGTACGAAAAGACCAGGTTGCTTCGATCGGACAGCGGTTCGAGTATAGAACTGCCACGTTATTAACTGCCCCTCTTCCCTTCGTTCGTTCGCTAACGTAATTGACTCTCTGCGGTATTGCCCCCACCGTCTAAGCGACGACGACCATCGGAAAAAAGACGTTGAATCATGTGCAACTATTCTGTAGCGTCAACTCTCTCGGTGTAAACGAGTAGAAAAGATGACAAATATGCATACGTCTCTCGCGTGCTGAGTCCGCCTTTTTATCTTCGTATACATCAAATTTAATCCATGATAAGTAGAATAGGTTTTTTTTAAACGTCGCATATTAGAACCATGCATCTACGAATAGAATAATCACGAGGCCAGTCTACAGGCTCATTAGGTTACACAGATAGAAACTAAAAAGTGCTCTCGAAATATCATAGCTAAACGAATCTGTAACAACTAAAGCTTAGTAAATTTCAGTTATTATTTAGGCAGATATTTCTGTCTGGCCGTGCGCATCGTTGCGGTTGCTGTTGACCTTAGTAGGAAACATGTCATTAGACACATTGTAAATGTGTATGAAAGATTACATAGTTTTAATATTTGCCCGGTTTCGGTGCCATAGATGGTTTGAAAACAATGAACTACGCTCAGCTCATATGAGTCATGTTTCTATATGTAGATAACAGGCTAATATACACACACATATATACCACAAAAGCTACCTGGAGCTGCCCTTTATATAAAAGCTTAAAATTAAGCACACAGGTATAGTTTGTGGGCTATTTATATTGACGACCGATAGCGAACTGGCCTGATCAGTCGCAACTGACATGCGTAAAAGTAGTCCGATCTCTGTCGACTAATACAATACATCCCTGATCGGACTATTGTCAAAAACCAGGACGGGTCAATTGTGGCAATCTGGCAATCGTCCCCAAGAAGCCACTCAAGATTATTCAGTTATATAATCATATAGATAGATCATCAAGCTATCAAAAGGACAACATTTTAATTCGGCTCCGATTATACTAAAAACATTATCCTTTCTTTTTTATTAAAGCTTTATCTTTTCGATATAATCACTGCGAGACACCTGTTAGTTACATAGTATTAGTAAGCATCAACTACTACATGTTATAATAAATCACCATGAAACGGGTGAGTAACAGTATAACTTAACTAAACAGTGTTTTTTACTATAGGTGTTGGTCATATGCCTATTTGGTTTGTCTATTGGCAGCCTGTTTAGG